CTAGAATTGTTCCGGAGAACCTATAAAAAGAATACATCCTTTTCTTATGCTTAGCATATCAATTAATTTAGTTTTTCTCAACTTTTATAGAAAAAATACAAAATAGTAAAACAATGCATATTTGCCTAAGAGTTATTCAAATAAAGTAAAAAAAATTTAAAGTAATATAGAAAACACATAATTAATTTTTWCAACTATTTAAAATAAGTATGTATTTTTCTTAATTTTTGAACTCTTAGACTATAATAAATTTAATGAAGATAATAAAATTTGAGTTTGAATGGTTGATGAATGCAATTAAGTAAAAATTGTTTGAAAATGATAGAAAATTTGAACTTTTTGTTTTGTGTATTGTGAATTGTTTTACTACTATAATTTAAAACTAATTATGTTTAAATTTTCAAACATTTGAAAAAAAAATTAATTWTAAGTTATAATTCAAGTAGTTTGATATAATAATTAAGCTTGAGTTTGTGAAAATTTAAGTTCAACCCATTCTTAATTATTAATCATAATTAAATTATCAAYATTCTCAATAACATTTAAAATTAATGTTCAATTTTAATAAAATATTACCTTCAAAACGTCTGAATTATAAAATGCCATAATTCCTTCAAATATAATGACATTTGCACCATACATTGTTTTCTAAAATAAATAAATAATAATTAAAATATATTAWGTAATAAGACAAGTAGTACACGGATTTCAATGCATTTACATCTCTTTTAAGGAATATCTTACACAATGCTTTCCTTATACTGTTTCAAGTGCTTTGTATTGAAAATACAACATTTTTGGGGGTATTTTTACTTTTTTTTTAACAGATTCTATACTTTTATACTTTTAGTTTGACATTCTTAATTTCAATTTTTTAATTTTTAAAGATATTTTTGACTTATTTATCGTACAATGACTAACAAAAATGAAATTCATTGAAATATCAAAATATTACTATGTATTAAAAATCATTTTCATTTTGAACTATACTTATATCAGGTAATTTGGTTTTATCTGTATGTTACACCAACTAATTAGCCAATTAAATTTCATACAACTTTTATTGGATTACTGCAGTTTAATACAAATGTATTGTTTTATTAATGTTTTTAATGTAGATATAATTAACTACACAATTTTACATGTTAAATGCATTTTTTAAGTATTACTTTTTTATAAGACTAAGCATCAATTTAAATGAATAAGACACAAATTAATGAAATATCTGAATTAAATAATATAGTTCAATATAAATACTCAGATGGTATGGGATATGCGCATATATCAGCATCTGCTGAGGAAGGCTATTCCTGCCATCAGGGATCAGATCAAAGTTGTAAATATTTTTAACAAATAAACGATGCTGCATGGGGGCTACATCATGTGAAAACAGTATGACCTCCATGTGATGATGAACAAAAGAAAAAAGAAGAAATAATTTGATCAACATTAATCTATTAGAAAAACAATATATTAAAATATTAAACTTAATAGATAATAGTTCAAAGAAGAAATATAATGCTTACTGTTTTAGTTTCTCTAGCATGAGTGACAAAATTATAAATGGGCACTTCAACTTTCTTGCCATCCTTTAATCTTTGCAAGGTAGAAGTTAAGAGTTCAAAATCAAACGCTTCTGGATGATCAAAGTTATACTCATTATGGGCAGCTTTCTCATGTTGTTCTGCAGTTAATACCTAATATTAAAATGATGAATTAGTTAAGTTATTAATTTAATAATATAATTTATTATTATTATTATTAATAAATTAAACCTTATAAAATGAATCCATGCTAAGCAGTACAACCCATGGTACATTTAACGATTCTATTATTTTTCTAGCCACAGTTGTTTTCCCAGAAGCACTTCCACCACATACACCTAAATATTGTGTTGTATATAATGTTTGATTAATTTTGGTAAGAATTTGAAAGTTTAGTAATATTTTAAATGTTACTTTAAATGAAAAAAATGTTGTAATGCAACAGAAGTGCAATTTAATTATAATAGATAACTTACCAATAACAAATGGTTCTACTTGTTGCCCAGCAGTGTTGTACCATGGTGGYCGGCCAGCCGTATAAATAGTTCGTGTGTGAGACTGTAATACTGACTCAGAAGCTGTTTTCTTAGTCGACTGACTAACAGAAGTTGTTCTTTGTCGTAATGTTGACCGGGGAGATTTCACCAACACTAAAATGAAACGACAATACAAAATTAACTTATGAAAATGCAGAGGTAATTAACTAATAATATGGTGGTTAACAAGTTGTGTGTAGAGATGTCTTTTTTTTACCTATGTTATTTTATAGTAATTTATAAATGTGCAATTGTGAAATAAGGAAGTAACATATTATTATAATCTTTAATTTCTACAAAAATCAAATGATTGTCAAAGTTTAATTTTTAAATGAAAMAATTTTATAATATTATAATTTTACATAGATACTTAATTCTTAGATACTTATATATATATAGATACTTAATAGTTCTACAAAATTAATTATTASACTCAATGCAWTTAGGATAATAATTATAATAAATTATTACCTGTTGATGGCGCACTAGTCGACTGTTTTGATGGTGACATACTAGATGAGATTATGCTATCACTTTCTTCATCGTCATTATCTAAAGCAATCGAAATGTCGCCAACTACATCACGATATTCGTTCAAATCACTAAAATCAAAGGAAGAATCAAATACATATTGTTCATTTATGATGATGGTATAATAATATTCTTATATCTTTTATTTTATTATATTATTTACTGAAATATTAAACAAACAAGATATTTCATAATCACCAAAACTACAAGCATGTAGAAAAAAAATTAAAAATATTCCAAATAACACCCAGAATAAAAATAATAATAGAAAAGACGAAGTAATATTAACAAGACTAAGAGTAGGCCATACTCACTACACACACGGCTACCTAATGAACCCGAGAAGAACAAACAGAATGCGCATCATGTGGAGTCCCCYTAACAATCAAACACATTTTTATCGAATGCAGGCAAACTGAAGCCGCCAAAACTAAGYATAACATCCCAGAAAATCTATACGAATAAATAGGCCCGAACATAGAAACCATCACAAATACTCTAAGCTTCATCAAAGATATACAAATCGAAAATTTATTGTAAAAAATTAATCATAACATATAATGTACTAACAAAATCATTGTAATAACTAATATTATGTCATTGTTGATTGTCAAACGTCAGCCAGTGGTCTTCGCTGCCGAGGCTTATTCTAATAAAAAAATAATAATAATAATAATATAGTAAGGATATAATATCATAAACTATCTGCCGAATTTATAAATTATATTTAAAAAAAAAACGACAATATTATGCGAGGAAACAACGACTATGAAACATAGACAACACCACTGTGGTCAGAGTGTAGGATATATACCCAACTGAACTGCACACGTCGCATTCCACGATTGCGACAGTCAATTAAAATATCAACCGCGATTATTACTAAAGTAGCATTTCTAGGTCACTATAAACACAGTTACGGCGTATGCCTATTATATTAGGTATTACGATTTAAGTATAGTATAAATTACCTATCGGAACTGGCAGAACTCGGAGGATCGAACGGTTGTATTTTAGCAGCCATCGTGTATAACCATACAAGTCTAACGCATAATATCCACCGATATCGGTGTAGGATACTGGTCACCACAAAATATTACAATAATGATCGAACATGAGCAACGCGGGAAACGTCAACACGTCGTCGCGAACTGAATTAATGCCATAAACATGTTTTGCGATTAATGATGATATCGTAAATATAACTACAGCTGAGTGGAACGAAAACCGACGTTCAACGTGCTATCACACTCGAAGTCGATTGACGATATGAGACAATTCAATCAATTCATACAGAAAGGTCGTTGTCATCGTATGGACCATAGAATAGGGTACTCCATGGTATCTACATAGGACGTGTGCGGATGATACGAACATCAAAATATTCTATCATCTGATGAATGCATTGAACTATATGATCATATAGTACAATGGATGAATGTTGTTCATATTATTGACTAAATAATATATTAGTACACGGATAGTATACTAAATATATATTAATTATTTTAGTATATTATATTATTATCCGTGATATTAATATATTCTTATTATGATAACAGATAACTGTAAAATCACAGATAATATATCACGAGGAGTTAAATGTATAAAATCACGGAATAATGTATATTATTATAATTAAAATATAATTAATATGTATAATATTATATAATATTCTGTATTATAGTATTATCTTAATCCGTGGGTAGTTCATAATATTTATGAAAAAGTCATTATATTATGACGACAATGTCGAATGAACTCGATAGTTCTTTACCTACTACCTAGTTACTTATAGAGGTGAGAGGGCTTAGGGGGTATTAGCACCCTCAAAAAATGTTCGTGTTTATGTATCAAAAAGTTCTTCTTACATAGGTTATGCACCCTAAGTTTTTTTATTGAAATTGCGTTTAAATACATGATAATAATATACAATATATATATATATATATTTAAATAATATCATATACTAGTATAATAAGGGCCGTGTCAATGTGGATTTATAAAATATTTAAAATAAATTTACTAAAATACATAAAATATGTTATTATATTTTTGTTTTTTAAATATTTATTAATAAATCCACCTTGATTTGTGGCACGATTTAAGATAGTAAGATTACCCAACGAGCTATGATAAGTCATTATAGCGCTTCTAGTGGACTATTTTTTTACGGGTCACTAAATAGTGGTCTGGGGCATATATTTATGAATCTATGGTTCATTTACAAGACGATTGTATCATGGAGTGTTGGAGTATGAACAACCACGTACACGTTACCAGGGTAGTTAAACTATAATAGAACGAGAACCCCAAAAGTCTCAAGATTCAACTGCTCCATAGCAACGATTCTTATTCATTGATATAAACGTATAAAAAATGACTATTGAATTGTAAAACTGTTCGCAATCGATCAAATAGTTTGTTTTTTGTGAATCAAGCACGCGTATTGCTCAATTATGGCTAACAGTGAGTAATATATTATTATAATTTATTATAATATTAATGGGTTTTTGTAATTCGTAGTTATCGTTACAATATCATTAAAAAACTCAAAGTAGCTAGGTACTCATTAAAGAATATAATTATTATGTTTATATATTTTGTTCGTTCAAAACGGTAGATATTCGGTAACAACATCCAAGGACAAAATATTATTTTCTATTATTATAACAACTTTACGTCGTTATTGGTAGTACCTATATAAAATAAAAATACCTAAACTGTAACTATAAACAATTTACAAGTTAATAATAATTATATAATAGGTATTTAAATAATGCTTGACATTATGAATTATAATAAAATCAATTATCATAGCTCATAAATCTCAGGTTACGGTGTAATATAGACTATAGTCCATACTCCATAGCCCGAAATTTTAGTACAATCAATATTTCACATTTATTTTGTAAAAGTAGGCATTATATCATAGTACCTAAATATTATACTACTTACGTTTATTTAAAAAGAATCCCGAGAAAAAAACCCCCAAAAAAACCAACGGAAGAAACCCGTGGAAAAAAACCAAATAAAAAAAAAATAAAAATGTTTATACGATTTYATCATATTCCCCCAATTTCAACYGTAAATTTTGACAGATTAAGAGATTAACTTGTCAGACTTATCTGATTACATATTATATTATTGAGTTATTTTTAATTTTTGAAAGGAATAGTAAATCTACAGGGAATTGAAACTAAAATTTAAGTAATAGTGATTAAACTGATTTTTATATACATTAATCATAACTTAAATTTTATCACATTATTTACTTATATTATACTCATTTGTATTTTCCCCAATAAAAAGTATATGTATCTTTTTATATATATATATATATAAAATAATATAGCATAGACTTTATACTATATGTATAACTGTATAAGTAATAAAGGTATGCATATTTTTTCTTAAACATGATTTATAAGAATATATAATTTCAATATAGTATTATAATTATTACTGCCATATTATAAAACCTATAGAAGCTGTATAAATTGKATAAAAAAAATGTTATATAATTGTAGTACATTTAAATGTATAGGCATGATAAATTTATTAAATTTATAATATTGATAACACCAAATAGATTATAGGTATCATGGTTATAATGTTATATGTTGTRATTATATTAATTTCCTGATCATATAATTTTGGTTTTTTTCTTTAGTTTTTCTTTTCCGTATACCATATACGGATATCGGGATATACCATTTAAAAAGGTGGGCAGTGACCAGTGGGAAAATGATGAGTAGGTACTGCTCTGATGCTTAGACACGAATCCGGAACACAGTTTTTTTTTGGGAAGGAAGGGAAACAATTTTGTTACAACACAAATATAATGTACATTGATTATTAATAATTTTTCCGAAAACTTTGCATTTGATTATGTCACTGTAAAATATAATAAATAATAATATACCTATACGTTAAATGTTTCAAGCTTTTCTGTATGCCATCATCGCAGGCATCGAAATAGGCGTTACTACAAAGTTAGGTGCACATGACCTGTCAACGTTTGATTTAACTTACAGAACATTTTCACTATGAATAGGTATCATTAAGAGTTAAGAAAAATTACACTTTATTAGCTTAGCTAGGTACATTTTCCGACAATACAGCAATCTCATCAACCAATAATTAAATTATCTTAGCAGCATGCCATAATCTCCAAAAGTCCAAAAACATTTAAATCTCATAGACATCTGACATTTGGTGACCAGATTCTGGTC